TAGTAGGGATGAATGAGAGTAAAAAGCAATGTGTCTTAACAGGTAAATCTGTCAGCACCCTCTCAGGATGCTATGCTAACAGCCAGTTAATGGTTAAGGGTTGCAGTGCAATGGCAGTCCTGAGAAATGTTTGCATTTTTAGAATGCATGGCTTGAGCTCCATCTTTAAAACAAAGTATCAATCCTTAGATAGAATATTGCTGTAAAGGTGGAAATTGAGTCTCTTGATTTGACGGTCAACATGCATTTAGACACACCGTGCATCCTGACACAGAACCCCAAACACATGCACTTTCTCTACTGCTTGAATCTAAATTGAATTCTCTTATCTGGGCTCGCACCCTTGCTCTCATCACACACACCCTTCGGATACCAGACTCCAGGTGAATTTCAATGTCAAAGACACTAAGGTATTGCAGGAGCTGCAATCTGTTCATTCTGTCAACCGGGTTGCATGTGTGTGTGTGTCATTGTGCACCGGTCCACAGAATGTGCGCTGATTGCTGGGGGTTAGGCCCATTCATCTGTCGGGTGTGATCATGGCTCTCTGTAACTGGGCCTAGGCGTGAGCGTGCTCTCTGTGATCTCCCCGATAAGAGTCATCCATCTGCTGTGTGTATCTGTCAGGACCCGAACAGCTCCTCTTATCAATGCACTCATCCGTTTCCCTCAATCATTCCTGCTCCCTTCTCTTTTCTCACTCTTGGCTGGTTTTCTCCTCTGTGCAGCTTCTTGATCCGGAGAATCACACTTTTAGGTGGACCAGCTGTAATAGAAAACCTGCCAATTTGTAAACTGTGCAAAGCCTCTTGGGAACACTAATGCATACATAAAAGAATGCAAGGCTTTCTATGAAGAAGACTTAAGCATGTGCATGTATGCAAACTTACACACACTCGCACAGAGATTGTTGGTATTCAGGGGCCCCAACTCGGCCTCTGAGATTATCTACAATAGATGAGACTCAAAGAGAAGCAGCAGTCTTTTTTTTTTGTCTTGCAGACCTTCCAGGAGAGAATACCCCCCTAATCATCAATCTTGCAGACGAAGAATTAGCTTTTGTGTGTTACGCTTCCATTTTTCATTCCAACTCAAAGGGTCTGAGACTTGGAAAAGCTACTGAGAACATGAAGCGACATGACAAGAAGATTTGTGTACAATACCAACAGGAGCTTAGATCAGGGGAGTGTAGTGTACACAGAGGAACCTATTCAGGATTTTGCCACCCTTCTCATAACAAAAAGCTTTACAAACAACCCCAACAGCAAAAAAAAAAACAACAACCTGAAGATAGCGTTGCTGCCCCAGCAATCTGTTCATTGTTTGTCACAATCAATACTGCAGGAACCAGACCCATGATTAATTTAAAGATATTGTGATCTTAGGTGAGCTGGATTAAACTGCTTGTAAGAACAGATAAACACTGTTTAAAATGGGCTCCCTTCATGGTGGGTGAACATGAGTTTCATCATCAGTATTAATAGTATACGCCTATCCCAGATTGCATACTCTGGGTGCTGCTGGGCCCACACCAGGACGGGTTTTTGCTAGGGTAATATTTATAGCTGTGCATTAAAAGTGGATTCAAGGGTTTAAGTGTACTGTTGCAACAGAGCTGCTGCTCCTTTGTCAGGGCCTGTCCAAAAATGTCTTTCCTGGGGCTACTTGCAGCATTGCATTCAAGCTGACAGCTGGATCACACAATCGCTGTCATATCAAAGGAGGGGAATATTAAGGAGCAGCTGCAGGATTGTTCTTTTTTTCCTAAAAATTGTATGAGCTGCAGCCAAATCATTGCATGTTTTCTTTTTAGGCCTATCTGTATATCAGTGTTAGTCCCTTTGAATTACAGTCAGCTCCTCCTATTCACACACTACTTTATAACCTCAATAAATACTCATTAAAGAACCTTGTAATATGTCTATCAATTGATTTGAAGATAAACTCAACACTGCCACCTTGTGCTTGCTGTATGTAAAATCTAATGAGTTCAGCCTGACGGAACTTTCATTTCCTGTGGATTTTCTCACAATAATATGGATGCATTTTATTAGATTAGTTATGTGATAGACCAGCATAAATAGTGAATAACTTGTGAAGTAAAGGGAAAATAATTCAAGTTTTTGTTTTGTTTTTACAAACTGAAATCTGAAAAGTGTGGCCTGCAAACACAACTAGCCTTGTTTGACATCTATAAATTAACCAAATACCAATGGAAGCCTGTGATTTAGTATAAATACGTTGTCAACAAATAAAGACATTAACAAAAGAAAGCCATTATTAAAAGAAGTCATGTTTGCAATTTGCCACAAACCATGTATTTCTACCTGTATGGCAAACAGGTGGAAAAGGGTACCCCTCTCATAAGATCAGTCTTTGTTCTGCATTCAAACTAAGATGTAGTACCACTAAGAAGACTCCATCTCCACAGTGGGCCATGGTGGAGACACATTTTTTTAAGCAGAAGTTACTGAGAAGATGGATCATTTTCATTATGGGGTTAATCTCTTAAGGAAACCTGTTAGAAGCCACATAAGACTTGAGCAGGGGTGTCAAACTGGTTCCAGAAAGGGCCGTGTAGCTGCAGGTTTTTCTTTCCGACCAAACAATAGCAGACCAGACTCCATTAATATCAAGTCATCATGTTCAGATTGGACTTCCTTGATTAGATGACTGGAGTCTGGTGTGCTATTGCTTGGTTGGAAAGAAAACCTGCAGCCACACGGCCCTTTCTGGAACCAGTTTAACACTCCTGGACTTGAGGGTCATTTCTTCAGCACGACAATAAACCCAAAACATACAGTCAGAGATACCATAATGAGGTTGAGATGAAAATTCAGCTGAAAACGTGTTACCATTAAACAGGTGTGATTCCATCCAGACTGACTGAGCTGGAGAAATTTTGCAAAGAAAAAACACAAAACAATTTCTGAATGTGCAAAGACGATTCTGCAAAGTATAATTTCTTCCGCTTCAAAGTTATGCAACAATACATTACTGTTGGCCATCAGTCCAAACACCAGAATTGTGGGCTACTCTATGTTCTGCTGGTGTAATATAAAAATAATGCCCATTAAAAGTGTTAAGATAAGTCAAATGTAAAACGCACAGAGAAGTCAAACAACTTTCTATTTATTAGGTCTTAGTCAAAAGGTAGACATTTATCAATAAAGCAAACAAGGTGACCAAAGAAAAACAAGTACAAATCATAAACTACACATTTCTTAAAATATAAAATAAAATCACAGCAACACCTATAAATTTGTCGTTACATCTCTGAGAAAACAACCAAAAACAAAAATCCAGATTGCTTAAGAAAATCTATTCACGAAGTAAATCATAACATCTTATTAAAAAAAAAAATATGGATGAAGTATTATTTACAAGTTCATTGCTAAGAAAAGCGAATACAAATGCTATTTTTTTTTCCTTTACAGTGCACCCGATTACAAATTGCTGTGAATATGCAGTTTATGCAACAAATACACAGCAATAATCCTCTACACAGCAGTTTAAGTGCTATCAATATCCTTTTTTTTTTTGTTTTGTTTTTTTTACAATTTGTGCTAACAGGCATGCCATAACGCCAATATGTAAAAAAACAAAAAACAAAAAAACATAAACACCATTTTTTTTTTTCTCCTTTTAGAAAAATGTAATTTTCAAAGACACAAACTTGGGATGTTTACGTCAGATAATTCAAATTGAATCAATCTAAAGAAAACTCAAAAAATCCTATGTATTGTTACAGAAATCTGGGAATCCACAAAAAGGTAGCTTGGATTAGGTCGGGATTATCGAACATTATATACTTAATGCAACTTGGAGGTTTGGATGTAACATAACAGGACAGGTGCAACAGAAAAGAAAAACACAAAGGCAGTCTATTAAAATATTTATAGACCCTATATACACACTACAGTAGAGTCCACATTTCTTCATATGCAACCAAAACTGAGAGTAAATGTTTTAAAATTAGCCAAGTTATTTCAACAAATCGACCACCGTGATCATCCCTGAGAAGACATTTTGGTTCCATACTCAGTGCATCTGAAATGTACGATCATGATATGAAATTGAACTCATGACATTTTTTCCACTTTGTCACGCGTCAGTTAAGAAAAACAAACAGCTTTTGCAAGATTAATTAATGCCTCTGAGGATTTCGGGATTACATAAAGAAGCTGTTTAATCTAACTTCATGTTAGATTATATTGTATAAACAGGTTTTCACCAAACACAAAGAGACTCTTTATGAACCTTTGGGAAATATTAAACCCAAAAATATATTCAGGTAAAAAGAGTGAGCATGTTGTTCGGTACATGATTGGCTAAAAAAAGGAGGGGGCGGACATGTTGCCTTGGCTTTACAGTTACAGTTTACCCTGATTTAAAAGCTTCCGTTTAGTTTAGGTAAACAAAAGCAAAGACTGATATTTTTGTGCACAAAAAAACTGACACCAGGAAGAACGATTCAATGCTCGTACTGCGTCTACTCTTTAGATTCCCAGTCTCTGGTCCCCATTCCGGCTTGAAATAAAACCAGTGAGAGCCGAAGTCGGTTCGATGGATTTTTAAATCATGGTCAACAGGACCTTTCCAGAGATCCTGTGGCCACTTCCTGATGACCCAGAGCTATTTTGGAGGCACAAAGACGACCTAAACGACACCAGCAATTGGTCTGAATTCATTTTTGATGTGCATCTATTTATCTTCACTTTCTTAGGCCTCCTCCTCTTCCTCCTGATCACTGTCATCAGAGCCTGCAGGACAAAAATAACACTGCTTTAATCCCAAGAGATTGTTGCTCAAGTCCTGAACACACACAGATGTGGATTAGATGAAAAAAAAGCAGAAAAAGACAAAAGTAAATGCTGTTGTATCCTGTCCTAGTTTAACTTTAAAAAAAGATAATGTTGAATAATTGTTGTCTTACCATCAATCACTATTTCACCACTACCCTCCTCTTCTTCGTCCTCCTGGCTCTCATCTGAGGGAGACACATTGTGTTGTCCATTCAGTACATTAGAAGAACCTTTTCACATTTTGTCACATTACAAACACCCGATTAAAAACATTTCAGCGTCATTTTAGGTGACATGTCAAACAAAGTGGTGCTAAATTATCATTCAAAATTGATACACAATTTAACACCCAGGGCTAAACCTTTATATAACCCGTATTGTTGCAGTGAAAGCTTTGAGTTAAAAGTAGCTTCAAACATTTTAAAAAACATTTAGCTGGAGAGCATCTGCAAATCTAATATTAAAGACTTACCACAGATGGGAAATATTTGGATTTAGCTTTTGTTCAAGAGTTTTCTTTTGTTTGAATTAAAATCTTAAAGGTATAGTGGAGGATTTTCTTTTTGGAAAAAGAAATCAAAATAAGTGGTCCTCCTAATTGTCAATCATTCTAGTGATATGTTTACATAAGGTCGTCCTATGTGTTCATTCCCATTTTCACTTACTGGTGTTGAGTCTGACATAGTGGAAAAATTTCAAATCTTGTTTTGGAGAGTAAGTTTGCATTAGCGTAGCAAACAGCAACTTTTAAACAGACCGTGCACGAGGAGAAATGGGCTCTCGTGCATGCTCTCGCACGTGTCTAATAGGCGGTCTCTCTCGGAAGCAGGTACAGGGTTGTGCATGTTCCTTTTTTTTTAGTGGAGGTGGTAGGTCTTTTCAAAAATTCAAGAAAAATTCTCCACAATACCTTAAATCATGAATATTGTTGCATTTAACAGTAGCTCTGTCTGTATGCTAAAGTCCACCCACTTATCAAGTCTTTTCAACCTTCAAAGGATTGGTCCAGACCTTCCCTCTATTAAGCTTCATTCATCGTCATGTGACCTCTAACCAGTTACTCCACACTTAAAATTTGCATTTGCACAAAAAAAACCTTGTGCAATGTTTTAAGCACAACTCAGGATATATAAAAGTAATGATGTGTGAAATTAGAGGGCTGACACAAACTTTTCCAATCGACTATAACAGACTACAAGGCATTAAAACTCACCTGAATACACTTAAATTAATGCTTTTAATTCAACGGGAATCAAAGCCAATGTTGTTCATTAATTGAAGCGTTTATGGTTTATACAGGAATAATGAAACTAAAACAAATGTATCCTCATAGTCACAGAATGCACATTAGGAAAAAAAATGAGGAAGGCAACTTCAACTGGTATAACTTTAAATTTTCCTGTTTCTCACATTTAGACCTTCCCTCAGGACATCTCGGCACTGATCTATTTTAGTTTTAAATTGTCTGGGGCGGGATAATGTTTTCACATAGGCTAAGTTATACTTTAATACTTTTCTAATCTCTTTTTTTTATGGTCATAATTCAGCTCCCTGTCACTTAGCCACCTTCAGCCGCTACATTTTTACAATTGAATCATCTTGTGCTGCAGGATTGTTTTTATTTTGTGCATACAGATGGTTTGTAAATGACGCTACATTCTCATCCATTTTCGATGTTTTCCCCTGTAGGAATTGTTAAGTGGAGCTATGATGCCTTTTCTGCAATAAATCAGTAGTTATCGTCCCACAAAATGTCCTCAGTTAAACGACAAAATCCTCCAAAGGAACAATCACAATATTTTAAGAGAGGAACACAAAAAGCTAACATTAATAAAAAGATTGGCTGTAAAATAGTTTGGTCAATATGGCCCATCAGCTGTAGCATTGGACTAACATTATTTAATCAATTCCATCAGATGAAAAAGAGAATGCAAACTGTAGTGTGAAGTGTTTTAGCATCACAAATGCTTTCGTTGAGACATATTTGCACACTAAAAACATGATGCAAATGGCTTTTATGTATTAATATATTGTTACCCTCCCGAAACCCAAATTTGGTGTGTATTTAGCCTTTCTCTAAGGTACATTGGATTAATAGTACCTATCCAGTTTAATGACTGGACCCCGTCGTGATACAATACATTTCTAATGTCCTTGTATGAGGAAATTTGAAAGAAACAATAAAGAGATGTTGATTTGAAAAAAACATTTATTTCAGACTGCCAACATCAGGACATAATCTGGAATACCCTACTGACCTCTGAGAAAGTGTTTAAGTGCAGATAGCCGTCTCCCTTAGGCTGTAAACAAGGATTTTCAAACGTCTTAGTTCAAGAAAAGAAACAGAAAAATGTCTGACCTTAGTAAACAATTATACTGGCCTTTGGGAAATGCTGCAAAGCGGTTGCGTTCACTCTGCAAGCAGAGAAACACTTTGCATTTAGTGGACTGCACACAGGACTTCCCCGTGCAGTCCTGCCCTCTGCAACACATTGAGTTCTTCAGGTTGGCCATCTCTGGGAGATGAGCAGGAGAACATGTCCAGACAGAGAGATGTGGGATGGAGGTGACCTGTGACCCTTTCATCGCCTGCGGAGGCTGTGTGTATCTTTGTTCAGAACGTTCGGTTTGTTGAGGAATACCTGAGCCACTACCATGCGAAACTCAAGAAATGTATTGATAGCCTTTCTGGGGAAACCGTTTTCCTGGTTGTCTTGGCAAAAGCAAGATCAGTGAAGTACTTCAGGAAGTGAATTGTCCACTTCTTAGTTCGCACACTGGTTCGGCAGTAGCATATCATTCTGTCTGAAACGTCAACCCCACTCATCCAAGGGCTGTACTCCTGCATTCCACCTGACCTTCCAAAGCTCTCATTTCTTTATTATTTTTTTGACCATTGCTGGCAGGTGTCTTTATGCTGTTCAGCTTGAGCAACAGGGAGGATAACAATCAGCTTATTATCATACCAGATGACACAAAGTTCCCCCATCTGCCTTTGCAACTGTTGCTGAAGCACGTCCACTTTGGAAACTTGACAGCTTCTTGGTTGCCTCAGAGACACACTTCTTCATACCTGGATCAGTCAGGTTCACCTTCTTCTTTAGCGTACGATAGATAGCTGGTATGCTTATGAAGAACTGCTCTTAAAGCACTCAAGTACCAGCAGGTACAGTTTTATACAGACGTTTAAGAACCACGGCTCATAAGGTCAGTCCCTCAGAGTCCAAAACTTGAGAGGTTAGCATCTTTGCACCTTGATAGACTTTAAAGTGCAGCAGAATTCCATGCATCGATGCCAAAACAAAGTTCTTTATGCCGATTGTATTGGGCTTTAATGGCAGATACTGCCGTAACTGGCAGGCTACAGTAAACAGGATTGTCTGCTCATCTATCGACACACATTCTGGTGGAGTTTGAAGATGGCAGTCAATGACTATGTGAGTAATGAAAGGTCTCGCTTTCCAAAACGTGATTGTTTTCCTCTCGGCTTGGGGAACATCATTATCAAAGTCCACTTTCAGGTTGCTCCTGAGTTTCAAGAATCCATCATGTAACATTACATCACCAATGGCAGGAATTTGCAGGATGTTTCTGGGTAACGCAGGTTAGAAATCAAGATTGCAGCCCCAGAAAAGTGAGAAATCTCATCAACAGAAGTGTCAAGAGATCTCCCACTCTCAGCAAATGACACAGCATTTGTGCAACAAGCAGCTTCATCAGCTCTAGGTTGAAATACTGCACCATATAATCCTGCCACAGCCAAACTGCAAGCTCATGTTTCAGGACATCGTCTTCACCTTGAAACTGGATTTATTTAGGGGTGAAATGAGCAGACTTCTTTCAATTCCCACGTCCAGTCTTTAGGGGTCCCTTCCTGGGCTCTCCAATTCCTTCCTCATCCAATTCTAATGATAAAAACATAATATATCTAATGTGTAATGTGCAAAAAAAGTTTGGGGTCTCGCTCACCACGATTCCTTTTTTTTCCTACTTGTGACTGTTGTGGCTTACTCCTATTCTCGCTGTCACCACCTTCACTGCTGTAGAGTTTAGCTTCTGCTGCATCAGGTTGGGAATAATGATACCAATCATCTGCAGGTGTACTTGGTAGAAAATAATCATCGGGTTGTTTTTGATCCACAGGCAAGAGATAGAAATCAGGATTCCTCCTCCAAATGATCAGTCTCTTACTCATCTGACAAATCTTCAAACTCGGAGTTGTTTACATTTGCCATGAGCAGTCACTCTGTTTTGGACATACCTGTAGCCAGGTATCTTGCAGATTATTAATTTGTTAAACAAATCTACCAGTCGCAAGAAAGTTTTAATCTTAGAAACTGTTCTGAAAAATGCTCCAGGTGTGTCCAACTGTAGGATAATGAATATATAGTCCCCATGTCCCATAGGTCCTCAAATGTGGACTTCATCTTTGTTTAACTCCTACTTTGCTAGAGTAAAAATAAGTAAAATATGCTGGTGTTGTATAGCTAAAGATGCAGCTATGCACACAAGCACACTTTTTACTTGGATCCCTGGCATCTTGTCTTCACAGAAATAAGTTTAATGTTCTCAAGGCACTATTACATAGTGCTGGTATAGACTATTCACCTTCACTGAAAATGTGCATAATGAAATTTATCCTGTGCATCTAACCCATCCCTTCAGTGAGCACTCAGCAACTTGCAGCACCTAAGGGAGCAATGTAGGATTAAAGGTCAGGGTGACATTCTGAGGTTTGAACAGCTGATCTTGCGATTTCTCCATATAAATGCTTTGCTCTTCGACCACTAGGCCACCAGTCCCTACAACTGAAGGTTTCTAATGAGGCCGATTGGTCAGGAGATTGGACTGTCCTTATATGAGGATGCAAGGATGTGTTAAGCATTCAAATATTGACAAGAAAAACTGTTGCTATGTGGGCATATTCTGTACACAGGTAAAACTAATTAAAGAAAAAGCATAAACTCTAAAAAGTTTTTAAGTTCCTTTTTACAGTTTAGTTATCGCATTTTTTCATGTTGCTTGATCTGATAACTGTGGGTCATTCTGATCCAACAACGTTATATTTAGTTATAAAATGGTTGCACAGTCCTTTCTGGCTGACTGACAAAAACATACAGAGGAAAAGTTTAAATAATAGAAAACTTTGCAAAGTTTGCAATAGCCAAACGCCAAAACATAAAGCAAGTCCAGAACACATTTAAGCAAAATTCCAACTAATAAAGACCAAGTAAAGGTTTATCTTATTGTCTGTGTCGAACAGATGCAATGTTAAAAAACGATAATCTGAAACTATATGGTTTTTCATCATAAACTAATCAATACAGAATTAACCAGAAAATAAAATCTTTGGGTGCTCTCCTGATGGGTGCCATCTATGCCAGGCCTTTTGATAGGTGCGCAGAAGCGGCATCATTTTTCTACTTCAATATATTGTGTTAATCACAACTCTGGTGCTTCACTATAACTACACCGCTAGCAACTCTAGCCTGGCTACTTCGTTTTTCGTGATGTTCTTCGTTTGTTAGGGTTCTCCTACAAAACTCTGATGTTTCATGGAGCAGCTTGTTTATTCAGAGACAAAATTACTAACAAATAGACCTTTGATTGATTTGAAAGAAATGGGTGGCTGTAGGTGCATTTTTGGGTAGTAGATTAAAGGAGAGACAATGTCTGATCAACTTTATAGATTCTTATTTGTAAATAAACTTTAAAACCTTCCCTGCCTTCCATTTCAAAGCCATTTGTTTCTTTGGTCAATTACATTAAATCTAGAGCTGCAACTAACGATTATTTTGCAAATTGATTAATCTGTCGATTATTTTTTCGATTATCAATCGGATAGCCAAAGGTTCCTTAAAGAAGATTTTTAACTAAATTAAACCAGGTGAGAATAAAACTTTTCCACTTGAGGAATTCTGGATAGAGCATAATGAGAGGCAAAAACATTTATTTTTTCTTAATTGCGAAATGTTCATATATTTTTGTTACAATTTTTATATAACTAGAACTCTAAGTGGGTTGCTTTGTCAGCTAAAAGCATATTTTAAAGTCTCAATACTCCAGTTAACGATTAATACATTTCTAAATTAGTTCATAATTATTTCAACATCGATTAATCACAATTAATTAATTAATTGTGATTAATCCAAATAAATCCCAATGGAACAGACATTTTGTTTCAATATCACAAAATTATGAAAAGGTCAGGTTAAATTATTAAATGATTCAATTGTTGTGTAAATTATTCCAATTATAACACAATATAATAAACACAGTTTCACAGTTTAAATACGAATTTAAGCAAAAAGCTAGCTAACAGCATCATAAAGGAAAGGGGAAAAAAGGAAATAACCAGTAATTCAATGGTTCTAGTTTCTAACAGCTGTATTTTGCACTAACCTGGACTCCTTTGCCTGCCGCCATCATCGTCTTCCTCCTCCTCCTCTTCTTCTTCTCCTGCACCTTCTTCTTCATCTTCCTCCTCCTCCCTGCTGTGGCCTTGTTCAGTGTCACCACCATCTTCACCCGGCTCATCATCAGAGTCAGAAATAACAACACAATCATCTCCATTCCCGTTTCCAGCTGCTCTGGCCTCATTCGCATTACTAGAGAAAGAAGACGCCATGTAAGCAGTTGTTACTTGATACAGCAAATCATAAGAATGAAGCAATATCTTGCTACAATTATTTAAAGACAATGACATCTTGAATTTTAATAAGGAGTTTATTGAAGCCAAAGGGCCAGTCTGTTTTACCTGCCGTTCTCCCTCGGTTCCCAGAGAGGAGTGAGGTAGTATCTCAGTGGATCTCTGTAGAGGTCGTCCTTAAGTATCTAAACAGCAGCACAAAACATCCTGTTAATACAGCAAGCAGGCTGAGGTGGATGATATACTATGAAGGCACTATAGATGGACCAAGCATGTTTCAGTTATGAGCAGACAAGTCCCCAATCTCCATCTAATTGCACTTGGAAAGAATTGACCAAAAAGCATTTATTCTTGAAGACAATTTAATGCATCATCACTGCATTTAAATCCACATAACAGCAAAAACAGTATAAATGTTTAATGTACATGCCCAAATATTAGCTTGCATCTACAACCGAGAGGGCTGCCACTAAATAAAAGTATCATCATAGAAGTAAAACAAACAAACAAACAAACATAGATGGTAATACCTATGAACTAGAACCATATAAATTAGTCAGATACAAGTGGGCTCAACTGAATTTGAACATGACCAAACTTAACATATGTTCAGCTTATTTGTATTTTATTGTAAAGATGAAAAAAATGACTTTTTTCTCATTTTTACGTTCTTCAAATTGAAAAATCTTTATCCAATTTCAGTAACTGTTAAGCCAAGGGGCTTTTAAACACGTGTATTAAAGAACTGGTTTTACAGATGATGATGATGACAAGTTACTATATTTACCAGTGTATAAATATTTTAATAATACATGAATCTATCACATCTACCAAAGGACTTTTTATTTTACCACAACTTCATGTTTCGCTCTATCATTATCAGGAATAAACATTAATTGTTGATTGCTTTATGGCAGCCTACCCGCTGTTACTGTAGTTTAAAGGAGATATCCAATTAACTTGATCATATTCAATACCACCACTCAAAGAGAAGGGCCTCTTGTTTGGTTTGGGACTCCAAAAATATGGTTGTTAAGTTAACTGAGCCTTGTATATTCCTCTTAGTTATGAGTGTCTACCGCATGGTTATTGGTTCATCAATGGTCCAATAATAACTACAATGGATAATGATACCCGGGTTGATAAAAGTGACAAAAATTACACTCAAAGTTAGAAGCAGCATCTGGCTACAGACAGTCAACTATTTTGGATGCATCAGGTTTGTGCATGCTAGTGATCTTTACCTGTGCTACATCATCCTGTGCTGGGTTGCTGTGGTCACTGAACCAGCTGAAAAACGTCTCGTAAACACCACGACACGACTTCCTGGGCTCGCTGTTGGCAGTCAGGTTGTGTCCACGATGCCAAAGAATGGGGTTGGAGAATGACATGGGCGATCCTAAAAGCATCAGCACACAGCATACACAGGTTTTAAGGATTCGTCAAATTCAACAAACCGGTGGAATAGTCAGATACAGGAAAAAGAAGAGGTCATCCTAATTTATTTTCAATCATAACAAAAATAAGTTATGTTCGTCAAAAAGATTACATTATAGTTCAGTTTACAATAGAAATGCAACTACCTCCCATGCCAAGGTGCAATTCCTTCATAATGATGTTATTCTGGAAATATGGGTTCCTTCGAAAGTGGAAGCGAATCCTGTAGCCAAGTTTGGTATTTTTGAAAGATTCAACCTGGGGGAAAACACCAGAGAAAGCTTAAATCTGACTGTTTTGCATTTATGCTAAAAAAAGAAAAAAAAAATGGAACCTACCTCAAGATCGGTCATGTAGCTAAGAGCATCTTCATCAGTCTCATCTATATGAGCCGAGAGATGGGGATGGTTCAAAAGCTGGAGTGTTAATGTTAAGATCATAACAATAATAAAAATAAAGTCCACCAATTCAACTTTGTTGTTCTTTTAAGGATACAGCTGTCACCCAAAACCCAGGGATGGCTTTTGTGATGGAGCTTCTCTGATCAAGATGCGGGCGTCTCTGGCGATTAATCTTCAGCTCCAACCGTTGATGGAGCCTGGCGCTTTTCTTTTCTAGGGCTTCAAGTCTCATCTGCACTTGTGCCAGCAGAGCAACAGACTGTCTCATCTCAGGGGCCATTTTGACCGACACAATTGCACACTCCCCATCATCATTGTCATCGTTGTCGGATGGGAAAGAGGAGCTTGGTGTGGAAGATGATCCTGATATGGACTCATCCCCTTCATCCGCTTCAGGAGCATCGTTTTTCTCGGTACTGCGTGCTGATGTGGAGCTGTCTGCTGCTGCCTGTGTTTTTGAGGCCACCTTTGAAGGCTGCTGACCTGTTCGCTGTTTGTTTTTACTACCATGCTTCACTTGTTTGATTTTAGCAGATGAACATGGAGCGTCTTGACTCTCTTCTCCATCTCCTCCAGTGAGGCTGGCCAGTGCTTCAGCTGCTGCTATGGCTGCAGAGTCAGACTGCTCTACAGGAGTTGAGGGATGCTTCTGTGCTTCAGTCGCTTTCTGTGGTTCTCCCTTAGGATCAGTGGCTGCAGAGGGCTCTGAGGACTGCGGTTTTTCAGGGCTGGAGCTGTTGACATCTGTACGGTCTGGAGCTGGATCGGGCTGCAAAGCAGTTCCTTCAGAAGTACTGTCTGTTGACTCTCTCTGGGCCTCTTCTAGACGTTCAACTTCACTGTTTTTGCAACTTTTTAATGTTTGTCCAGTTTCATTTATGTCATCACTTACTTTAACAGACTTTTGAGGAATCGCACTATCTTCATCCTTGCCTGTTGATGAGGTCCGCTTCCTCGGTCTCCGATCCTCGGGCTGTTTGCAGTCCGTCACTTCACTCATGTTAGCAAGATAGCGAAAGAGCTAAGTGGCTAAGAGGCCCACGGGCTCTTCAAACTGACTGCAGTTGTTTGCACAATTTATGCCGCAGCTTCTGCAATAAGCGCAACGTTAGAAGGTATGCGGGAGCGTTTAAACTACATTCTAGGCAACAACAGATCAGGAACAACTCTCGTAACTCTCCGCGGCCTCGCGCGGAACGTTAATATGCAAAGCTAAAGCTAACTTAGTTAGCTTATGTTAGCCAGTTATGCTTCCTTACCGAACGACAGCACCGCATTTCCACTACTAAATTACCCGGAACAAATACTTGATCTAATCATTCAAACCCACAAACGTAAAGCAGCCTTCAAACAATAAGCGCGTTCTCTGGGTAAATTTGTATATCGGTTTATCCGTTAGCTTGCTATCCGTGAAGCGACGCCAAAGAAAAACAATCCGCTGATTGGCTGCGCCACGCCGCGCTAAAAAACCTCAGCCAATCATCTGCAAGGGTGTGTTTACATGGCGTGCTGTGGTGGAGTTAACTGCGCAAAAAGGACACAGCGTCCAAATACTGAAAATCAGTTTAGAGCCTTATTACACAATAAAATTGTGACAGAATTTAGGTCAGATTGTTATTTTTGTATTAAATAGCTGGACTGATAAGATGACGTCACACTATATAATTAAATCAATTTCATTTTTCTTTTATCTTCAGGTTAATCTCAAAGCACTGCAAGAGAAACATATCAAAATTTTTCCCCACATACAAAATCCAAATCATCACATATTTTATTTTAATGCTTAGCTACTTTATTGTTCTGTGCAGAAAGGCGAATCTGTCGGACAAATCAAATTGCATCTAACACAGTAATAACGTGTGATAATAACTAGTTGAGTATGGAGGACGAATCCTGCCATAGTTAAAATAAATACAGAAATAAATATATGCTCAATAAATAAATAAGGATACAATTAATTGCCCCCCAAAATACAATAAACAAATAAATGTAGGTAGAAATTAAATTATACAGTGAAACATAAATGTATATATCTCTTTTAATAAGCTTCTTTATTTATTCGCCTTTGTTATAATTACCTTATTTATTTATTGTCCATTATAATAGTCATTTATTACTTATTTTTTAAGTATTTATTCATATGCATGTGATAATATTTTTGTCTGTAATATTCTTTCTTTGTATTTTTTTACCCTATTTATTTCTTCAACACTATTTATTTCTGCCTGTCGTATTTATATGTCTGTATGCATTTCTGCCGCATTAAATGAGGAAGGGGTGTGTCTTTAGGGCTTAACTTCTTCTAACTCACAGAGCTCGGAGTATTAAGTTAAAAGTTCTCTTTTCTGTTACTGTTGTTCAATTAAAGTAAGTTTTAAGATAGTTTGAGGCAAGCATATATATTATGGAAGAGGATTAGGGCCACTGAAAAAATAAAAAAAAGGCAACCGATTGTAAAATTTCATTTCAGTTTATTATGGGAAAAAAGTCAGAATTCTGACTTTAATCTCAGAATTCTCACAGAATTCTGACAGCTAACAAACATGTTAGCATCAAGCCGTAGCCATGTCTGTTTTAGAGACTGACAGCTAACAAACATGTTAGCATCAAGCCGTAGCCATGTCTGTTTTAGAGACTAAACTAGCTCTCTTGTTTTAATCACCTTCTGCTCTTCCATTAATGAAATAGCATCACCGGGGACCCCTAAGGCATGTAAAAAGTCACCTAATTCCCTCATTTTCCACCAATGTGTCACTGGCCCTCTCAAAGTGCTCCCACATCTCTTATATATATATATATATACGCACACACACACATTTGTTTTACTGGGTAACTGCAGTTGTTTGTGTTCGCACTGTCTCCAGCAGGGGGCGATAAGCCAGCCCTGATCGAGCAGAAGCGGGTGGGGGGGAATACTGGTTAACAAACTCACACACACATATTTAGGTCACGCCAAAAGGACCAGCACTAATATTAGAGGCCACTGATTTCAGAAGAGCTGCCAAGCAGCGCGGCATAAAGTCATCTTAACCAGGGGATAGTCTGTCACAGGCGCTGGCAGGGAAAGCTCCTTTTTCCATGTCGCTGTTGCCTCATATTGACAGCGCTGAGCAGCTTCTCCGTAGTAACACAGGGACACCGCTGGATCCAAACACAGCACTGCTCCGCCGACCATGAGTATTTACAAGTACTTATTCTGAGGACGCCATATGCACTCTTGCACACATCTGTAAATATGTCTTTTTTAACCATCCCAAGCCAGGAGGGCCTCTTTAAAACGATTAAAAGCAGCAAGTCAACCGGGGAGGCAGAGGGTCGCTCACGCTCGGACTGCGATGAGGAAAACGATGACGAAGAGGACGAGGATGATGATGAGGATGATGACAGCGAGCGTGTCCGCCTCATCCCCAGGTGTTCCCCGGTGCCCAGGAAGCGAGGCGCGTCCATCTTCGACGAGACAGCCGAGTACATGCGGATCCACCGCGCGCTCTCCGCGGGGAAGAGGGTGTCGTTCGCCGATACAACAGGTGGAGATCTGGTGTATGTGCGCGAGTTCTTAGCCTTCGACTCGGACGAGGAGGACAGCGCAAAGTGGGAGGAGGAGGAGGCGAAATACCGCAAAGCGGAGCGGCAGCCGACCTACAGGATCCACCCGGAGTTTAGCGCTCCAGACAGCGGCGAGCTGCTGCGGATTGTGCGCTCCAACAAAGTGGCGGTGGAGCAGATCTCTCCGGTGGAGGATGAGCCGCTAGCGTTCAGTGGAGTGATCAGAGTTCTGAACATCTCCTTCCACAAAGCGGTGTACATCAGATCCACCATGGACAGTTGGGCCTCCTACTTTGACCACCCTGCAGAGTATGTGCTTGGATCAAACGATGGAGACACTGATCGGTTCTCCTTCAAGCTCTCCTTTGCGCCTCCTTACACCACGCACGGCTCTCGGATTCAGTTTGTGGTGCGCTATGAAACTTCTGATGGTGATTTCTGGGCCAATAACTCCTCTCTGAATTATGCTGTGACCCTGCTTTTGTCCTATGAAGATGATTCAGCCCAACCTGGCACTGAAATGGCACAAAAAAGGAGCATCTTGAAGACCCCCAGAGTCTGCAGGTAGCTGCTTTATGTGAGGCAGAAACTTCTTGTCAGACTTGTTTGGACTAGAAGTCATAAAGAATAATTTGATCTAAGGTCTTCTATGAGAAAATCACATTAAATACAGATTTGCTCAAATCTAGGGTGAAGGCAAGTTTAATTTGCTATGATCAAATTCAACAATCAATGAATATGAATATTATAATACTTTTATAAAGTAAACAGAAATTTACATTTGAAACAATTTGAAATCTTTTTCATTTTAGCAATACTAAAACTATTGAATGAAACCTAATCCAGTTGACATTTGCAATAAACTATGAATATTCTATATATTTACGCTTTGGTAATATTAAAGCATATAGGGAGTGCAAGATGAATTTGACCAACTCTGCCAATTATAAATTGATAAACTGAGAGTTTGCTGTTGGTCAGACTTAAATCAGCCAAAGAGTGGTACATTTTTTTAATCATCGATGCTTATGGGGTCAAAAAATATTAGAAAATATTTCTTTAGGAATGCAAAAGTACTCATACCCATCACTCTTTCTGCATTTAATTAATGACAATCAATGTTTTCAATATTATGCATTGCGATTTTATGATATACCAACATATAGTAGTGCATAATCCTCCAGTTGAGGGATATTTTGTTCCCTCAGCCGATAGTGAATTACACCAGCATGTATTTTAAATTATGCTTCTGCCAGCTTTATACATTTAGAGGTCTGAACACATTTGCCCAAGTTTTCATAGTTAAATAGTTCAAACTCTGTCAGAATGGATGAAAATAATCTATGAACAGCAATCTGCTCTGCTCCTTGGTCTTCATCATGTTTATTGTTCACTAAGGTTTTCTTGCTGACCTTTGAGGCCCGTTTCTATTCTAAGAAACACAATCATGATCTCTGTTTACCAATGAGGTGAACGCTGTAGATAGATCTTTGGTTTGGATTTTACTAATCAGAATCAGGTGATTGCTAAACCATAATGCATTCTATTTTCCTTCAACTTCCCAACTATGTGCTTATCTGTGTTGGTTAGTTTTATGAAACCCTGGAAATATTCAAGTGAAAAGTAGAATATACATATTAGCTCTCAGATATAGCGATCCCCACAACAGAGACACAGAGGCAGGAACAACAGAGCCATATCTGCTTACTAACACACTTTGAGTCTAAAACAAGCAATCCCTTTATCCGTGGTTTTCCCTAGAAATGCCGCGCTGCCATAGGGGAACCTACATGTGAACCAGAACTGTGACATGTAAAGGTTTCAAGCTCCCTGTTTCTTTCGAAAATGTATTCCTGTCTTTTTCCACTTGCCCAGAAAGCAGTGCTTAGAAAGCTTACACCCCGCGTCGAATGCCAGCAGCCCCCGTAGTGTGTGACGCGATCAAAATAGGAAAAGGACAGGTGTCGTTTTCAGTCTTGGCGTTTCCCCTGGCACTAAAACCTAACTCTGACCTTTTCTGTCACAGGGGAGTGGGGCAAGTTCAAAGGAGCAGACTAGCCCTGTCCCAAATGTAATTAAGAGGCTGCTGCACAGATCGCTTTGCTTCCCTCTGCAGTCCAGTAAAGTGAGATAATCCTCATATTTATTATAACGTCAACATGAAAGGTGGTAATAGATCTTGCTGTAGTAAAGGTCCCCAAAGCTTGTGAGGGGCGTATAAAAAGAATCAAACAACTCATAAACTGATGCTGCTGCTGGGACATAGGCATGAGCCTGTTTATTAAGATAATTAATGACTGAATACATATATGGTGGTGATATAAATCAGTTTCACACACACCTGCCCTCCTGGCAAGAACAAACTATTTTTTTCCTGCCATGTCATGCTCAGGGTCAAAGAATAGACTAGTCATATGTCTTGGAGTTTTTACTCAAGGATATTTGTTACTTGAAGTGTAACCTTTAAAATATTAACCAACGATCTAAAATGCATATGCAAATCTTTCAGAAGTCAGCAGTCTTAAATAAGGAGTTTTATTTCATAATTACACGAGTCAAGTTCTTACTAAAAAAGTACAAGAAATTGGCCATTGTTTTTTTAAATCAGACAAGGCAGAAAATGTAATAAAAATACAAGGAATATAAACAGTTTCTGGAGTTCTTATCACATGTTTGTCACAAATCTTGGGCTTTTAGCACATTTTGTTGGAGCTCCTGGCAATGTTGTGGTCTCCCCTACCTTTCTTTTGAAAGATGTGTAAAGAACTTTCCTATTAAGCTTCTCATTTGACATTTACTCTCAGCCTGAGTCAGGTACTTTTCACTCTGGAATTTTCCACCTCAACATCTTTCACTGATAGTCTGATGACTAAAGTCCCTGAACTTTACACAACATGTCACTATGGATGAAGAATATTTGGAGAAATTTTATTGCACAGTCAGCCAGATTGTTAAAGCATGTTCAATGCCTTAAATGACCATTGGCATACAGCCGGCTTAGGTACAAAGGAGTTTAAGGAGACCAAAATCAGTATTTAGGGACCAGTTTAACACGAAAAGGGATGTTTTTTTTTTTACTTAAAATAACCAGCAACTAAACATTATAAAATAAAAAATAAAAAAAATGTATTTGTGGTGTATTTTATCATGTGCAGACAGCAGAGATGGGAAGTAACGAAGTACAAATACTTCGTTACTTTACTCAAGTAGATTTTTCTGATATTTTTACTTTACTTTACTACTTATTTTTATGGCGACTTTTTACTTCTACTCCTTACATTTTTACACAATGGCTCGTTACTTTAGTTTTGAATCATTTCAATGGAGTTACCGTTATTATTTTTCACGTCATCAATACCAAATTCAATCTAATTGGATGGGAATCTACGTTGCATTTGACGCACCACTACAAGATGAATCGACAGATTCGGCGGTATTCATTCGCGGCAAATCATTGCATCTTGGTGGCGGTGGCGTTAGCATAGTAGCATGGACGACGAGATGATTGAAAATGAACACAACGGAGATCTAGTCCTATTGGCAGACATCCATTTAAAATGTAGGCAACGGCATGAAAAAAGTGGTTTCTACTTTTACTTTTATACTTTAAGTAAATTTACAAGCCTGTACTTTGTTACTTTTACTTGAGTAGAGAAGTTTAATCAGTACTTCCACTTTTACCAGAGTATTTTTTTAACACAAGTATCTGTACTTTTACCCAAGTACAGAAAGTGAGTACTTTTGCCATCTCTGGCAGACAGTCAGCCAGGACGTTCCTCAGAAATATTTTTCTGCTGTCAGAATTAGTGGGTACTTGTTGAAGACCCAAATGCAGAGCTGAAGAGGCACAGATGATTTATTGTATAATTTAATGAAGAAGTAAAAATACAGAAGCGATAAGCCAGAACTGATCAACAATAAACTCAAGTACCGAAAACTAGGAGACATTAGGAAGGAATAAACCAAAGGAATGGAAGAATGAGATAAGGAAGATAATCTAGCCAACACTAATTGCATAGGAGTATTTATACTAAACAGAACAATGCATGGAGAAATTAGCTGATTGGGAGCAGGTGTGAATAGAAGGACCTAGAAGGGAGCAAGTGGGGAAGGAGACTGGCACAAGGGGGAAACAGAGAGTGAAAAAGAAATACATAGGTGCTCAAATACAATCAAAACACAACTATGACATAAATTAAAGGGTAACTGAAAACTCAAAAATAAAATTTGAACAGAACCAAAAAGTCCAGAAAGGTCAGCTGCAGGGAAATATGCAATATTTCATAAAAGTTTTTACTATTGTAATATTGCACTGATTTCCCAGAAAGTTTTTTTTTTTTTTTTTGGGGGGGGGGGGTTCTTGGAAAACATAAATGCCAAATAGTAAGTAGTATACAAAGAACGATTCCATATAACCACTTAAGTTTATTTTATAAGGTTGAATCTAGAGAAGCTTTTTGTGTTGGCATTGAACAGCCAAAAACAACTGTTTGCATGTGCTGGTTGCATATGATAAAGATGTGTCTGGAATAGATCAGGTTATATTGAAATTTTGTAAATGATGATAAATTCACCATTTAATTTGAAGCCCATGTGTGCTGTGAGGAAATTTACGTTTTATAGCACTAAATAAAAGAATAATATATATCACAAAGAAGTCACTTACAGTTAAATTTGTTTGCAATTGTCATAAATCTTAAATCTCCATTATATATCAAAATGCCAAGGTGCAAAGAAAGATACATTGCCACATGATAATTCAAGTATGTGGCCATAAAAAATGATTTTGTTTCAAGTATTATATGGAGGTAGGAAAAAGCAAAATGCTAACCTGTAGCAATGAAGCTATGAAGGAGCAAATTGGTAAAAACAAAGAAAAAAACACCTGACAGGACATTTAGGCCAAATAAAAACTTAAAAAGATTGAATCTAGTTTAAGATAAGATAAGATAGACTTTATTGATCTTACAGTGGAGAAAGTAAATTGTCAAATCGGCTCAATAGTCAAAAGAAGGTGCCAAAAGGTGGAAAAGGTGCATGGAATATATACAGTGTGTCCGCATATATACAGTGGATCGAGAAAAAAAAAATTAGGCAGAGATTTAAGGTGACTTATGTACGTTTAAGGTGATTTATACACATTGAATTTGGCGTTGTCTGCATAGTTTGGCGAACATTTGTGAATTACAGTTATTGTTTACTACATTAGTATCTTTGGTCTCAGACTGTTTGGCCAAAATCAAAAACAATTGTAATTTATAAAACATAGTGAAATAGTAAAACTCAGGCAAAGTTCTCTCAGGTGTAAAGAAAATATATCTTTTAGATAATGCACATAATGCACATTTTGTTAAAGATCCCTCATCTTGTTCGTCATATTTTGTTTAACATTTCAATCTGTAATTTTGTAGAATCCTAAAGTTTACTTCGCAAAATCAAGATTGTAAATCTTTTCCTCCAGCGTAAAAACAAAGTAAACCCCTCAATATGTATTGGATATTATGTATGTATAATTTTTTTCTTTTTTTACTTCAAAATTGTTAAATACATAAATATATAATATAATACGATTTGACATAATGTTTAGAAGATGTTTAAAAACTATTCAACAATATGGAAACACATGTTGCTTTTTTCTTCCAGTATGGATGATGACTTCGCTTCAGGGGATGATCAGGAGAAAGAAGAAGGTACTGAACCAACAACCACGCAAACTGCAATGATCAGTTTTCCTCTTCAATTCAGAATATTTAAGAAATTAAAAACTGAGAGATGTTATAGTTTATGCTTACAGATGATATAAAACTATCTTAAGTTTTACTAGTTTTCTTTAGTTTTGTTTTAAAGATTTCTTTTCTGGGAAATAAGATCAGCGCTTTTTTCCTGCGCTTGGCCTCATCGTTAATCTTTCAGGTTTTCTCTCTCATTTTACATCAGCAGAGGAACCAGAGAATTTCACAGCAGAACTGGTCAGGCCTTCAGCTGTGTGTCCAGTCATCATACATCCTGAAATTGATGTGGAGGTAAGGATAAAGTTAAGAGGGTAAGAACCAGGCTTCAGCTTTGCTAAAGTAGGAGTGCTTACTTTGAAGGAAATCATTTTGTGCTGCATGCAGTTGGACCCAAAGTGCTTTCTTCATTTATTCAAGTCATAGATCTAATCAAACATAACAGACATTTCCTGTTCAACTTTAAAAAGCTTACATCACTGGCTTGGTTCTTTGTATTGTTCACAGCTCATTGAAGCTTCAGCGACAACTTAGGTAATGTCTGACTTCTTCTCAGTGCTGTAGCACGTCCACTGTTTTATTTTTTCTACCCTTGTTTTTCTATTAGCATCTGCATCATGATGGTGCATGTTCTTTGGGGGGTTTGTTTTTGTCATATGTCTGTGTTTATTTTGAGGTTTATTCTCAAAAAAAGAAAGAATAAGGTTATTTCTTAAAACACCAGAGAGCACAAATCTTCATATATGGATGGCAAAAGCAGCACTGCCCAACGCTTCATGTCTGTTCTGTCTTTATAGAGGAGCCGCCATAAAGGCAGCAGAAATGTTTAAAGCTGAGAAAATAAAGCATAAGAAAATCATATCAGTAATTAACAAAAAATAGCAGTCAAATAACATAATAATGTATGGAGCTAATTTTGATCTTATTTATGTGTTCGCCGTCTCATCCTCGTGTTATTTTCATCTCATATTTCACATGCATGCTTTTGCACTAGGAGATTTGCAGCTGAAGTTGGCACAACCATATGTCTCTTTGTTATTCTTTTGCCAAAATGCCAATAATGTTGAATTTCATTTGCTGGCTCACTGGAGTTCCCTCAAAGGTGTATAGATGTTGATGAAATCCTCGAGATGGAATGAGGCTAGACCAGGGGTTCTTAACCCTGGGCCTCAGGGCCCACTGCCCTTCATGTTTTAGATGTCTCTACTATAGCATACATGATTCAAATGATTGCATCACCTCCTCTGCAGCCATTGAATGCTGCAAAAGCCTGTTAATCACCTTTTCATTCAGGTCAGGTAAGTGGAGGCAAGGAAACCCCTAAAACATACAAAACAGTGGGTGCTGATGATCAGGGTTAGGAAATCCTGGGCAAGACCATTTAAAACAGTGGCTGTGTCCGAATGTCTGCCCTAACCACAATATAGGGCACTCTATAGTGGTTACGCCATTTTAGATGAGTGTCCGAATGTCTAATGGGTGAAAAAGAAGTGGACTTGAAATTTCCCTCACTGCATCTTCAAAAGTATTGATCATCTATGGTCACTAGATGAGCAAATATTTCCACGATATCTTTGAGGTACCACTCGGGGAGGCGGAATAACTTGACCAAAGGGTGGCGAAAAGTAGTGATCATCTGTCCGTATGGTCAGTTAACTGAGTTCACTATAAATTCCAGTATATAGTCCCCGCTCTATATAGAGATTGAGGAATTTAGGGGTTAGGGCGGACGTTCGGACACAGCCAGTTGGTCAGCAGTAGAATTTTAGAATCAATGGGATGATAGTCAGGAGGCCATTGAAGATATCTTATAACTGCATAGATCCTTCCTTGTATTGGTGAAAAGACAAGCTGCAGTCCTCCGAATTATCTGTTAACTTTGCTGGGATGATTGATTGAGTCAGACAGGTCAAGAGTTATAGTCCAGACAACATGTGATAAAAGCATGGGTAACCTTCTTGAGATCCCTAAAAGACAAGATAAGGATTCGCTTTCACAATGAGCCATTGTTACAAAAAAATGTTGACTTAACAACAGCTCGTATCTGTTTGTCTATCTAAGAGAACTGTCCTGGAAAAACAACAACATGCAAATGCCTTTTTGGATCGAAAAAGCTTATTGGATGGGAAGCGAAACGTCTCCAAATTTGGAAACAAAGTCCAGTGGATTGCTTTTAATTTTCTTTTTTTTGGAAAAACCCTGGCAGATTAGATTACCCCCCACTGACCTGTGGGTTACCAGCGAAGGACCTCCCAAGGACCAGTCAAGGACCCATCATGAAAACCGGGAAACCGTTAAACTGCTACTACTGTACCCTGTGAGAAGCTCCAGAAGACTCAGGCGGAGGCATCAGCAATTGCCTGGATCAAAGACTACCTGAACAGACCAGTTTGTTAGACTGAAGGGTCAGCTGTCTAATCAAGTAGTCAGCAGGACAGGAGCACCACAGGGGACGGCACTCTCACCATTCCTTTTTAATCTGTACACCTCTGACTTCCAGTACCAGATAGTCTTCTTCTGTACAGTTTGATGGCAGACATACATTCCTATGATTCCACTTTAAACCTCTAACCAGGCCCACAACCTGCTAAAGTCTTCTTTCCAAAGACCTCGATCACATCAGGGTGTTTACTTTCACTTCAACAAAAAAATGTTTTTCTAAGGTTTAAACTTAAAATCTGTTTCTTGTTTGATACCCCAGTATTTAATTTAGGTCTTTATAAATGGAATACATTTTGGTTTAATAGTTAACAGTTTATCAGTTTAATAGTTTCTGCTATTAAGGAATTGAAGTGTATTTATTTACCTGCATTTTTTATGTCTTGTCCTCACCGCCACAGTGTCAGCATGAGGTTAATTTCAGAGAAAAGCATTGGTGTGTTTTGAAATGCTTTTCTTGTGGTTTGATGTAATGAAGTGGAATTTGGATCTGTTATCTCCTGTGAGCTATCATTGTTTTCTTACATTTTACTCCAACAGAAAGCAGTTCACCAGTCTGGCTCCACTGGCGCACCTGAACCCGGGCCTCCTTCTGTTGGTGGTGCTCTGTCCACTCCCGCTGTATTCCCAGATGAACAATCACCTTCAACGTCTTCCAATGCTGACCTTCAAATGTATTCAGCCTATGTACTGCATGCTGGTGAATTAATCACTCCAGATAAGTCTTTGCCTTCACATTTTATCCACAGGGAATCTATGAACCGCATGTCAGAGCAGTCCGCGCACAGTAGTCCCACTGCAGCACAGTCTCTCTCCAGTCCTCCATCTCAAGAATCCAAGCAGAGATCAGACGAGTCTCTGGCTGAGAGAGTGGAAAGCCCCACTACAGAAGCTCCCCCTGTAGCAGAGATCAGTCTGCTGTTAACAGCAGGAGAATATTGGATGGCTGCTGAGAGTGTCTCTTGTCCCAGTGTGACCGAAGGCCCGGAGCGAGAAGCTGTCGTGGGACTGAGTGAACTTGAAGAAAGATTTTTTGAAATTTCCACAAAATCTGCAGCCCATCATGCAGACGGAAGAGCTGAGACTCCTGTGAGAGCAGAGAATGAAGGTCAACTGTCACCTGAGCTTACTGAAAGCCCCTCAGTGAACATTACTGAGGTGAACCAAGATGTATCTTCTCAAACTCCCTCAGCCTGGAATGAGAAAGAAGAACCTGCTTACATTTCTCTGCACACATCATTAGCAGATCACCCTGAAGTCTTGTCAGATGTTTCTGAGATGATGTTTGAAGATGACTTCAGCATTAATCTGATGCCATGCATCTTCTTTCTGACCGGAGTAGTTTCCCTCTCACTTGTGATGCAGACACCCAGTGCTCTCTTCTTTATTGGGCTGCTTCTGGTTTTGCACCTTTTCTAAAATTTCCTCAAAACTTCAGTCTGATTTCCTGTCAAATGAAGTGCCTTTTAGTGAGTCAAAAAAAAAACAACGGGTTTAGCAATGAGTGTCTCCTTCAAATAATGTGCAAAATATAATTTACAAAGCTTTTTTTTTAAGTATATAGGGTGGTGGTGACAGTATTTTACTTAGGAGATGCATATTCATTCAGCAGGGGCTAGAAGACTATTTTATTTTTAAGGGAAGATATTAGCAGCTAAATTGCTGGGTAAACATCATATGGAGGCTGCAAGGATTTGAGTCTTCACCAGAGGTTTACTTTCCAGTGGGATTAAAACCAAAAAACAGCTAGAGATAGAGAACATAGTTTAGGTTGAAGCATTACTATGGTGCAGGGGGTCCAGAGTCCACACTTTCTTCACTTAAATCCAATTTTGAACTTGTGGCAAGACTTAAAAGCTAATGTTCACAGCTGTTTTTCATCTAATCTGATTCTATTCAATTTTCCAGTTGTAAAACAACCCAGCATTTTTATTAACTTTATCCTCTTCTTAATAATGAACTACTTTGGGTTGATCAAATATATGGAATTAGAATGGAATACATTATAGTTCCAGGCTCTGATCTATCAAAATATGGAAAACCTTCAAGGGGAAATATATGTTTTTTAACAAAGTCCACGTAAAAATACTGCAGGTTAGGTTTTGACAATATGTAGAAGAATAACATGAAAGAGTATTTTCTACAACAATATTATGATCACTTAGGTCAAATGAATTCTTAAAGGACACCCCTCAAAATTAACTTTTTTAGATCAACTATTGATGGATGTCTTATAAAGCTGTCTACATGTCCTGGGCATTACTTTGACAGTTCACTGCACATTGTTGCAATCCTGTTTTTATGTTGATATTATATATCCTGTCATCTAACACCAACTTGCCACTCAGTAGCTGTCCCCATTCTATGGTGGGATGCCTAGAGGCTAGGCTATAGGGATGGCCTTCCCAATCTATAGAGCCAGCGGCTCAAACCGGTGGGGCTCATTTTTCTGTATCCTGTCTCTGGTTAAGACAGTGGGGAGAAATCTTCTGCCTCATACGATCGCTCCATCACAACGCTATCATTGCTACACCTATGCATCCCCTCCTTAAGGCTATTTTTTGAATTATTATAAGTGGGTAAGTGAGGCTCTGGAACAGGGTTCAATTGTCATTTATGTGTAGATGATTTGTGAATTATATTTTTCTTGTGTGAAGATAGAATATATGGTTTCTTTCAGTCAGTATTTCAATGCACTTTTAATTACAGCCATCAAATGTAGCAAAGGGTCTGATGTTACTATATAAAAGCCAGATGTAGTCGGTGTAGCTAGAAGTAATGCCAGTGAGAAAGTGCCTTAAAGACTAATACTACTGGTGATCACAGGCGTTTATCTTCAAAACATTTTCACTTTGTAGGCACCACTTACCCTTAAATATACATCTTCTAAAATGTTTCATTTGTTATGTCTTTTGCTACATGTAGTTTTCTTTAAAAATGTTTTAAAATGACCTTTTAACTGTTGTAGGACAAACCAGTCTTTTTATTAAAATTTTAAACCATTCATTTTTGCTGATAGAAGTGTCACACATTTATTTTTGCTGTTAATTGGATAATTAACCAACTTTCAAGTTTATTAAGTGTCCTTATTGTTTTACAAAGTGTATATTTTCTTAATAAATTCCAGTTCTTAAGCTACCATTTGGCAATTTAAAGGTGGATGTTGTTTTAAGTGGTCCACATAACTGAATTGCTAAAATCATATTCATAAAGAATTATGAATATGATCTTAATTTGCCTGCTCTGCAGATGAATTGTGGAATATTATGGTTCCAAATAGAGTGCAATAGGTCAATATAAGAATTGGGAATAGCACTGCGAGTGTTTTCGTAAGCTGACAATTTCTTTTTCCTTGTATCTGACTTTTCCATTTGAACGTATGAATTACAATTTGGTAAATGAACTATAACATGCGCGGGGCTCAAGTCAAGTTCAGATTACAAATGTATTTCACCATCTTTTGTTTCCAACATTGTGCTCTAAATCCAATATGGCTGCAATGCATTTGAAAACACTAATACTAACACTCAATTTATATATATTTTTTTTTTTCTGAAAGGATTACCTAATTGAAAAAAGAAAAACAAAAAGACCTGCCATTTGCTGCAGAATTTAGAATCTAAAAAGCAAAGGGATGCTTCTTTTTGTCTTGAATTGCTAATAATATTTCCTTTGGTCATTGAGCAACGGCGACTAAGGAGATTAATCCTACAATTATGGAATGCCAACATGATTAATTTAGCTCTTTAATGTTTTTTGTGTGTGTTTTTAGTGAAATATGTACCTAGTTAGGATACCGTACATTAAGCCATTGTTTGCAAAAAGGTGTGACTTGGACGCACAGCTAATGTTAGTGCTACAGTTTTTTGCTTCTTGTGTTCATTGGTTTGTTTTAAACACAGGAGTTTGAATTTCCAAGTTTCAAATATAAGAATCAACTCCAACAATCCCTGTCTTTGAGAACCCAGCTGTGCAAAGTTAGACATCCCTTATCAACTATGGGTTAAGTATCCAATGTGACCTCCATGTGTAACAAAGCCTTTTAATAGCTGTAGTATTAAGCTTTTATTTCATTTTCTGAGTTGGTATGTCTTATAATGGTATATTGTTGAACATGCTTCTCAATATGTCAGATGCACAAATTGCACAGAAATAGATTATTATTCTGTATAGTCATAAGCACTGATAGCTATACAGGATGCATTAGAGAATGCAGTTGGTGTTCAAACTCGCAACTTAAATGAGGTTAGGTTTGGTGTAATGTTGTTCTAAGTTCAAACCACTGACTTCCAGAGCACACTATAAATAAAACAAACTATGCATCACAGAAACCCAGTCTGTACCCTACCAAATCTAACTGTATGGAGAAAAAATACCTATTGCGAACAATGCCTTGCAGCTATGTGATGCTAGTTTGAATATTTAAACTGCATTTGACATTAAATAAAAGCTGCTAGCAGGACAGTTGGCAAAGTTTGGGTCAGTGTTAAGAACAGAAATATTTTTACTGTCTAATTTCATGTGAACATTGTGCAGAGTTAACTTATACAGGCAGTGTTTAGACCAGCATTGGCAGTGATTCAAAGAGGGATGACACTCCTCCGTCTTTTCTAAATATGGTCTCTCATGCCTCCAGAATACCAAGATGGCAGCAACCAGCTGCCAAAATGTTAACTTTTAAAATGGATCACATATGCAAGGCTATTTTTATTTTTTGTCACTTTAAGTCAAACCAACTTATTGCGATACCAGCTTTAATTAGTTGTTATTTGTGTTGTGGTGTGTTTTATGTCTTCACTTTAGCATAACATTTTATGACTTTCTGTTCAAATAGAGTTTTATTTGTAAAATGCATGAGAAGTGTGTGTTTTTTTTTTTGTAGTAATTAGTGAACTCACGGTGGTTAAGCATAGAAGTTTGGGGAGAAGACAGATGTACAAATTAGAGTGATAAGTGATATGGATGATGTGGAAAAGCAAACCATTGAATTTCTTTCCATTGATAGGAAATCCTTTAGAGTTAGGACACCAAACCGTTGTTGTTGTTGCTCTGCACCAAACTGTAATAAGCCTGTATCATGAACCTCACAGATGTAAGCACAAAATGAAATGTTTGAAGTGTTTTTGAATTTTACTGAAATTAAACAAGATCCCATCCTCTGTCGTTTGACCTTTTTTTTCTCTGTTTCACAAAAGAAGTAGATTTCCTCAAACTGTATTCACAGACATGACATTGAGCAGAAAATACTGGAGTCACTCCCTGACTTTTAAAATTACATTAGCTCCTTTAGAGCCTGCATGACTGAAGAGTGCACAGTGTTTTCTGAAGTGGGAACACAAATTGTAATATGAGCTGCAGAAGAAAGCCAAAGGTCACACATTGCATTGAAGTCACAGTGTCCTGCAGTGCCCCCTGGCCATTGTAAACTGAGAGAGGGATATTAAGATTAAAAACACCAGAATGACTTGTCAAAGTTTTTTGTTTACAAAAATAATAGCTAATTCTAAATTTTATTGAGCTCTTGTTTAAGTACTCAACAGCGTTACGTCCAATAAACTAATGCTGAACCATTAATTGTTCTTTATGTTACATTTGAGTATATGGTTGGCCCTCATTTAAAATTATTTGAAAGGCAACATTCACTTTGTGCACATCTTCGCAGGTAAAACAGGAAGGGGCTACTATGTGGAACATACATTTTTAAAGGGATAGGATGGTGGAACTTTGTGACCAACACCGTATTTAAATAAGCACCTTGATGCACAATCTAAGCAGCGGCTTTATGATTAAACGTTTTTTCATGCAAACATATTCTTTTTGCCTTGACTAAATCATTGTGAAATTAGTTTAACCTTCTTTCGAATTGTAGCATAACTGTTTTGTTTTAAGAAATGACTGTCAGCTTTATGAAAATTAGCACGCTATTATGACAAAATCTATGTTATTGAATAAAAAAATATATATATTTATATTGACCTTTATGAGGACTAAAATCCAGCTTGATATTTTGAAATCTGTTGAGGTTAATTCCTGCAGAAAATTGCATGATGCCTTAAACAGAATTAGATTTTGAGATTTTAAAGGGATGTTTAAAGTAAAGCTTGTTTTCAGGTTAGCTAAAGGGCTAACCTGCAGAGAGCTCTCTATACCTTTAATCTTGGGAGGCTTAAACATATAGCCATATTCAGTAAATTAGAATATGTGTTCCAATGAGCAGAGGCGTAGCCAGAACAATTCTATAAGGGTGGCCAGTGCTGGCTGTACACAGTGCTGTACACTGTGCGATTTTCCAGTCGTGCAAGAATCTTTTGATCGGGCTGACATGCAGCCTGATCGTGAGTCGTGTAGTGTACAGGGGGTTACGAGGGGTGATCAGCCTCTCACGACCACATCCCGATCAGGAATCGTGAGGTTGTGGGCAAATCACTCAGGCCGTATGTGCAAACAAGGATTCCTCTTTTTATTCTTCCTCTCAGGTGTAGACACAGCAGCATGGCAGGGATGCAATGAGTGAAATGCAGTTCTGTCTGTAAAATTGACAGACAGTAGCAGCCATGTTTGCTCAGCCTTGTCGTTTTTACAAATACGTCGCCGCCTTTTCTTTTTAGGGCTTTTAGCACAAAACTGCACAGATTGCCAAGGCAGCGTGTTTCACTATAGTGAGCTTCATATTCCTCTTCTATTTGTTTGGCATCCAGATAGACCAGTCTAAGCAGCTCCATCTCACTGCGGAGCTGAATCCGACATTGTTTTTAGTCGTACAGTGTGAGCAGTTAGATCGCATGAGAGCGTCGGGCTAAACATAAATCGTGAGCTCTGAGCTCACACTGTATGACGAAAGTTAGTCGTGCAGTGTGAGCAGCAGCTGCGTGCAACAACTGAAAAAAAATCATACAGTGTTCCCCTGACTTAAAGGGGGGCCATGGCCACCCCTGGCCCCCCATCTAGCTCCGCTCCTGTTTCAGATATATGATTGTGGGCCTAATGTTATCCTCCGAATGTCTTTTTATGGCCTTGTCAGGCTGTGCGTGTCCAGAGGTGTAGCCAGAACATCACAGTTTCTCATTCCGCAGGAACGGGTAATAAACCCAGAGCACAGTTTCTCAGTCTGCGGGCACGGATTAATAAACCGAGAGCACAGTTTTCTCTATCCGCGGGCACGGGTTAATAAACCGAGAGCACAGTTTCTCAGTCCGCGGGCACGGATTAATAAACCGAGAGCACAGTTTTCTCTATCCGCGGGCACGGGTTAATAAACCGAGAGCACAGTTTCTCAGTC